GCCAGGAACGTGCGGGACGGGGCGGGGCGATCCTCTCTCGTTTCCTTTTCCTCCTTTATCCCCTCCCGTTCCTCCCGCTCCGCCTTTTCCTGTTCCGTCCCTGCGGCCGCGGAGCTCTCGGGTGAGCGGGGGGGACACGGTGGGAAAGGGGGGAAGAGAGGGGGAAAAGAGGGGATGGGACCCCCAAAGTGAGCGCGAGGGGCGGTGGGTCACCCCCAAAGGGAGCTGGGAAGGAGCCGGGGTTTGGGGGGACGGTGGGAAAGGGGTGGGAGAGGGGGAATAAGGGGAGGTGGGACGGCGGGAAAGGGCTTCCCTTGGGGTCCCTTCGTGTCCCCATCCCTTGGGCCCTGGAGAGGGGGAGCCTGGCGAGAGGGGACCCCCGAGCCCCCTGTCCCTAGCGAGCGGTCGGGGCCGTGCTGCTCGTTCTGAATTCCCGTCAGGCTGAACAAAGACCCGCTCCCGTGTCAGGAGCTCTTGTGTTTTCTTGTCCCCAGCACTTCCAGGAGCTCCCCCCGCATTCCCAAAGTCCTGGCGGGCGCTGGCTCGCAAGGCCCAGCAGAGCCCCCCAGTCCCCGCCGTGCCCCCCCAAGCTCGGTGCGGGGGTGGGACAGAACAGGAGAGCCGGGCTGGGCCCGGGGAAAGGCCGGGAAGGGAAGCAGGAATGGCCCCGGGGCTTGGATGCCGCGTTGGTGCTGCCGCGGGGCTGGGCCGGAGCTGGGAAACAGGGCCGGGCAAGAGAGGAGAGAGAAAGTGCTGCGGGACTCCAGAGCCGAGCCCCGAATGTCTGGGGGGCTCTGGGTTTGTGGGGTTTTGAGGGAGAGGATGTTTGGGTGTTGCAGGACCCCAAAGCTGAGCCGCAAATGCGCCTTGGGGGGCTATCGGGGGTCCCCGGGAGGTGTTTTTGGGGGTGCCGGTGTGGGTTCCCGGCGGTAGGTGGGGGATGCGGGTGTCCCCCCCGCGGTGGGGTCGGTGTTGCTGGGTCAGGCCCTTGGTTGCCAGCCCGGAGCAGGGAGAGGGGGGAGCCCTGGTAGCCCGAGAGGGGGATCCGGGAGGGGGGGACCCTCGGGCCCCCAAAGTGGAGAGAGCAGAGAGGGGGAAGTGCTGGCAGGGTTATTTTGGGCTGAGTCTTGGGGGTGCAGGGGGGACACAGT